GTGGTGTTGGAGAGGGGGTGGTGCCGTGGGGGGGAGATGGGGGCGGGGGCCTTAAACACCAAGGAATACACCAAAGTTTTAATTTTCAACTTGCTGGAAACAGCCAAGGAAAGTTTAAGATATGAAGGATTCACCCATTATGTCCAGTTCTTTCCTCTTTTCTGCACCATGAATATAATTTCAAAATGTAGAACATGGAGTTGTGAATTCCAATGGAATATTAGAAGCAATTTACTGACAGTAAGGGCAACCAGTGACCCAGAAGGAGTTGTGTTCCCCTTTATTGGAGTGCTCAAGAGCAAAGGACCCCCATCTAAAAGTGATGGTTTCTTGAAAGAGCAAGGGATTGAATTTTGTGTCCTCAATGATATCTGAGTTATCCGTTACAATTCTAAAGTGGGACAAAAAACAGACTGTCAACATGATTGCGGTATGGATGGATACATTCTGTTCTTAGACTCCTTCCCATGGCCACATGTTTAGGAGAAGAGCTAATCAAAACAGGGGTATAAAACAGCCATACTTGTTGAGTGAATTGTTATTTTCGGAGCATTTTTATCACCTTTTACTGCTTCTTCTAAAATTTCGTTCTTCATCCCCTCTCTGTAAATTTTGAATTCTGAAAACTAAAGTTTTACTTATATAGATATGAGCTTCTCACCTTTTTCAATCTAATCTTCTGTACCCAGGCATTTTATGCCCAGCTCAGAAGAGTACCTGGTAGAATATCTCTGAGACCATCCAATGTCTGAGACCATCCATCCTTCATTTGAAGACCTCCACTGAAGGAGATCCAACCATTTCATTTGAAAATCTGTTTTAACCATTGGTAGCTCATACATCCAGAAAGTTCTTTCTGATATCCAACAATTCCAGGAGGACAGCTGTGTTAATCTATTGTAGCCAGAAAACAGGAGCAGTCTGGTAGCACAATCTCTGACTGAAACATTTTATTAAAAGTCATAAGGTTATGTGAACTGCATTTTTGCCTTTTAACAAAAAGGGTTAGACTGAAAAGGTGTTACCAGACTCCTGATTTCTGATATCTAGCCTGAAACTTTTTCCATGTAGTTAAAACTACTAAAAGTTTCTGTAGTTGTGGATACAAGTTATTTCAAAACATTGGGGAAAGTAAGTTACATGTTTATGTTCCTTTGCATTAGTGATGTAAAATAATACATGTCATTTCAAAATGTGAAGAGGTTGGGTTCTTCTGCTTCAGTTCTTTGTACATTTTCCTTTTTTTTCCTCCCCTCCCCCCCACTTTTTTTTGGGTTTTAAAAAAGCCAACAATCAGGAAATGACTGATCCTGTGATAAGCAGGGGGCTGGATTGGATGATCTATAAGTTAATTTCCAACTCTAGAATTCCATGAATATTTCCTCACTGATTTTTCATTCCCCCATCCCAGCTTTCATTTACCTACTTTTAAACCATGAAATATATTATAATACATTAATGGTATTATAAAAAGCTTAACGCGGAAAATAGTGTTGAAGCATTACCTGCCAAGGCTGAAGGTCATAAAGTCGTTTTCTACCCAGTGTTGTCCTAGAACTGGCCCAAGCTGAACCTGATGAACCTGCAGACTGCAAAGCATGGGCCACAGCATGTACTGCATTATAGATACTGTAGCTCTGTCCACTCATGGCCATTTCGGAATGTGATACAGGGAAGGATTCCAAGCTCTTCTCCCCAGTACACATATCCTTTCCCACCTGCTCTGAATTTGAAAAGAGACATTTGAATGCTTGGTCCCAAACATCTTTCAGAAGCTTGCCTTGTGGGTTCTGTCCAGGTCTGAGGAGCTGGAGAAAAGTTTGGAACCCGCTAATCTGACTGGAATGAAGCATGAAGGAAAGAGCTCCTTGGAATATATGCGACATGGTGTCAAACTGTTGAGTCAGTAATGCAAAGTCTATCTGGGCTGTCATAATCCACACCTTTCCACTGCAGGCCTTTTCATTACATCTGTCATGTTCTTCAAGCAGTAAGTTACTCAGAAACCATATAGTTGAGGTATCTCCATAAATGACAAATGTGCTCGCTCTACTCTCTGTAAAATGGAGATGAATTCTTGCAAGCAGCTCGCTGATTTTATTCCAACTGTTCACACTTTGTACCTGCTGTTGTGGAATTTTTTGGGTGAAAGCTGAACAGATTCCATTCTGAGAGAACAGGGACTCCAGGGAGAGCAGAAAATGTTCTGCACTGTCACCATCGTCAGCAAAGAGACCAATCCAGGTCCATCCAAAGTTCTTTAGCAAGTAAATAATGCCTTGGACCTGGTGGTCTTCATTGAGGGTCATACGGAAGAAGGAAGGGTTCAGTCCATTTCTCCCAGCAGAGGCAAAGGATCCATATGCCAGCTAAGTGGAGATGAGATGTTTCAGAAATGAGTTAGTGTAATGGTATGTAGGAATAACCTTGGGAGACGGGGAAGAGATGCTACCTAGACAACAACCAGATAATAAGGGGGGAGCCCACAGCTGCATAACCATGAAAGAAAGAAACTCAGAAAGAAACCTCCCTAACTTCTCAGGCTGTAAAAAGAGATGGTGGGAGATTTGTAGTTTCAGACTTGCAAGATTCTGTTAATGTAACCTTAACATAATGTGGAATTAGTTCATCTGGTTCTGTTTCCTCTGTGGTCTGCCTGGGAAGGGTGAAAGTTAGAAGAAGGCTCTGCCAGTCTGTGTGAGAGTGTGGCCTTAAGATTTTTCATGCAACCTCCTTTGTGAAACTACCTATTTGTACCTTAGAGTCTTTGTTGGTCTTTAGTAGGACATGACTCATGAGACAGAAAAGGGGTTCCTGCCTGATAATCATAGAAACATAGAATCCTAGTGCTGAAAGGCACCTAAAAGTTAATTCACTCTAATTCCTTGTTCAATGGATAATCCGCTAGAGCAGCAGCTCTTGTCCAAGTGTGGTCTGGGGACCCCTGGGGGTCCCTGAGACCCTTTCAGGATATCCCCAAAGTCAAATAAAGAAATATTTTAAAATGCCTCAGTTTTAATTTCTAATATGGTAAATATTGATAGATATAACCAACATAGAGCAAAGCTCTTTGGGGTCCTCAATCATTTTTAAGAATGTAAAGGGGTCCTGAGAACAAAATGTTTCAGAACCACTATACTAGAGCATCTTTTTCACACAGGAGCCCAATGTTCTGGCCTGAAGCCAGCTTTAAGGATCAAAAATCTTGGTTTTACTATTGCCTTGTTCCAAGAACTAAAATGTTGGGAGAAGAAGCTGAAACAGAATTCATTCTCTCTTTCTCTCTCTCTCTCTCTCTCTCTCTCCCCCCCCCTCTCTCTCTTTCCTTTTCCCTTTCCTTTTCCTTTTCCCTTTCCCTTTCCCTTTCCCTTTCCCTTTCCCTTTCCCTTTCCCTTTCTCTCTCATTTAAAACAGGGATTTATTTCCAAAAAAGATAAAATCTATAGGTTGAAAGATAATTACTGAGGTTATACAGTTAATGTTCAATACAACATGATTAAGAGATACCGAGCAGAGTACACTGAGTTGTTTTCATGATATTAAAAAGAAAAAAGAAAATCAATATTACTGTTTGAGCTTAAGAGCAAAATCTCCACTATACTATTATTTATAATTCTTAAAAATAGAAGATAAAGGGGGGGAAAGCAAAGAAGAAAAAAACACCGTAAGAACAATATAGATAAATATTTGATTTCTGATTTCCTCCTTCTTTCTCCTCCAACCTATTTACAGTATCTATTGGTATAAATCTTAGAAACCATATTCTGAGTGTTTGTATTTACCTTGCTGTGTATTGTGTAATATATATGGAAGCCATTCTTGCTTGAATTTAGTTAAGTTTCTATGATGTATGTAGTTTCACCATTATTGGATATTCTCCAAATTTCAGTTTCCAATCAACACTTTTCCAGTGTTGTGCAGTCATAAGCACGTATCTTAATAAATTATGATATTTTGTATTGTTATATTCTGGAATTATACCTAGGTAAAAAAAGTGTGGTTTGATTTCAGATTTGATCCCTTAGATTCTCTGAATAGTGCTGTGCATGTCTTCCCAATACTTTTGGGGGGGTTTGTGTGTCCACCACATATGGCAGAATGTTTCTTCTGTCTCGTGCCATTTCCAGTATTTATTAGTATATGATTTATTTCTTTTGGCAATTATTGATGGAGTTGTATATCATCTGTAAGACATTTACAGTATATACAAGTTCCCTCTCAAACCATAGTATTTGTGCCTTCGAGTCAGTTTTTGACTCCTGGCCACTGCCTGGACAATTCCCTACAGTTTTCTTGGCAAGGTTTTTCAGAAGTGGTTTGCCTTTGCCAGCTTCCTAGGGCTAGGAGAGAGTGACTGGCCTGAGTTCACCCTGAAGCAAGACTAGAACTCACGGTCTCCTGGTTTCTAGGCTGGTGCCTTAGTCACTATACCAAACTGGCTCTCAGACCATAGCATGGGGTAAATTCTACAGACTTCTTCCACAGTTCCTCCCATTGTTGTATTGTGACTGTTTCTGTGCAGCTTTGCATCCAATTGATCATCCATGTTTCTATTTCTTCTGTCTCCGTATCACATCTAAGTAGAACTTTATATATACAGTACAGTACAGCCTAATAGGTGGTCTTGATTCTATATAAACAAAAAATTCTGACATTTTTTTAAATGTCCCTTCCTCATTTTTGAGGTCAGATTTTATTCGCCCAGCAATTTGTGGGTACATCATTCTTGCTGTGTCTTTAATCTATTCATGCTGTGGATGGAGTGTGCTTGCCTACGTCATTACACTTTTCTTACTGCAGTTATCTCCAATATGAAAAGCTAATGGTGAAATTGTTGAACTCCTTATTTTCCTCATGGAGTTCCAAATGTTTATCAAGTTTTGTCTTTTAATGTGTCCCTTTCGGTTTTTATCCTCTTTTGTGTGATAGTACCATAAGTATCTATGAAGCCCGCTCCTTCCAGTATTGACATTTTACTGTTTGGAGATTTATCCACTCTATTATCCATGATAAAATAGCTTGCTTTATTATACAATTTGAAATTTGGAAGAGGAAGGCTGTCTCTGTCTTTTGAGTCTTATAAAATGTTGAGTTTCACTCTGGTTTCCCCCCCCCCCAAAATTTGACTAAAGGATGTGCAGCAGTAAGCAAAGTGTAGGCCCATTATCAGGATGGAGGGAGATTTGGGCCCTCCTGAAAAGGCCATGTTTATGGTGTAATGGGTCTCCATTCTATGTAGGGGAACATGCAAAGTGACTTATGGCTTCAAAAAGTGGTCCCAAAAGCAATTATTAGGGACACTGACTCCGTAAGATCATAGCATATTGGGAAAAGCATACTCAGTAACTGCCACCACCTGTTCCTTTTTAGAGAAAATGCCCTTCTGTGTTTTGCTCTGAAGAAAGAGATTGGAAGCACCATTTTTATTATACAGATTAAGGTTAGGGAAGCAATTGAAGCTTCAGAAAAATATCATGAATTCTGGAGAAATTATCTCAGCAGCTTACCTATCTATCTATCTATCTATCTATCTATCTATCTATCTATCTATCTATCTATCTATATCATTAAATAGATAAAAAGGTAAATGCAAACTAATACAAACTAATATAAAGTAAGAAAAAAAACGAAAAAGAAAAATCAAAGAGAAAGCTTAAAATGCAAGGAAAAAAAGAAAAAAAAATAGAAAAGAAAGAAAAAAGATACAAAGAAGTGGCTTCCAATCTTTTTTACAG